TAGCTGCCAAAATGATATACAACAGAACTTAAAACTGCCACCATGTGATCATCTTTACAGATGGCTGGCAGTGCTAAAGGTCCTAAATAATGGTAAACTCCTTTGCCTGATAGCTAAACTTAGCAAAATGGCTACCCAAAAGTGTTCAGTGTTCCACTTCGTGCTGTCCCACTGTGGTTCACCAGGAAATAAAACATTGGATAAGCTTGCTAAGAAAGGTGGGAGAATGTGAACAGAAAGACAATGCAATAACGCAGTCTCCGAAAATAAAAGCTATCGAGTCTATCAGAAGTTATATTGTGTTACGGTACGTTGTTGTTCGCGTTCAATGGCTGTAAACGCCAGCAGAAACACCTGGTTGTTCGTCCCTTTCCAGACTTCGGCTTTCTTCCACGACCTAGGTTTTGCTCGTGCATCTGTTTTACAGATCTTGCTTATTTGTGTGCAGGCTGTTGGTTGCATTCCGACTTTCAAAAAAGTCCCCAGTTAGTAGCCTCTTACTACATGCTTGCTGGAAAAGCAGTGGCTCTTTTCTTGTTTTTCCAGGAATGCGGCCTCAGAACCCACACAGGAATGTTTCGTTATGTTACCACATCGACGTCACTGCCCATCGGGCAATCGCATGCATACTCAGACCTCAGATGCAGCATCGACTCCAAGATTCTTCTACAAATTGTTCTCATGGGAGGGGATTATAAGGTCCCCTGTCTCGGTTTTGAAGGCGGCATAGGCGTGCTTCGTCATGCTTTACTCTCTTGTCACTCGTATTAGTGTCAGTGATTCGTCTTTATCCAGAAGTTAGCAGAATCGGATGAATATAACTTACTTGAGTTATATGGACGTGTTATAATTCTATATCTTAGGACAGGACATAGCAAACTTAACCAGCATATACACAGGCCTCGTCTGAGTAGCTCACTACTGTGTCCATCTCTGAGTAAATCACAACTGTACAAATGTTGACTGTGTGTATGAACCACAAAACGTATTCTTCAATATTGTTTTTTGTAAAGTTAATTGAGAACAGAAATCTGACCCAGCCAGTCACCCAGAGAGTCACCCAGAGAGTCACATCATGCGCACAACTGTAAAGAACTATAAAGAGGAACTCTAAAAGAAACTGTCAATCTTATTTATTAAAAGAACTTGCTGTCGGTGTAAACCAAGAAAGCGATCAGCAGAATTTATCTGTACATCAGCTATAGACTCAGTATCACTCATGCACTTTCGGACTGTAAGTTACTTTGCAACCCTATGATGTTCTTGTTTAACTAATCGTGAATTAATTAATAATCGACATGACAGAATTAGTGCCATTTCCATAAGCCGCAAGTACCGAGTTCTAATTCTCATAGTACTAGTAACAACCTAGTTGAATATCCGCCCCACTTTATCCTTGAGTGTTGAGTGGCGGCCAAATCTTCTTGTCACTCCTCGTCGCCCCATTCTCCACAGCTAATCTCTTTATGCCTCTGCACTGTCCACTCTTGTCGGCTTCTGCGTCTTAGGCGTTGCGAGCCAGCTTCGTAGTGTCAGGGTGCCGGGTTCGATCCCAGCTGCGAAGGGTTTGTCTTGCAATGGTTTCGACAGTGGTACAGAGAGAGAGAGAGAGAGAGAGAGAGAGAGAGAGAGAGAGAGAGAGAGAGAGAGAGAGAGAGAGAGAGAGAGAGAGCTGATCATACAGTAAGCAATTACAAACTACTGAACGTAATATTTGCCAAGAAAAAAGCCACAACAGCCACAAACAAATGCTTGAGTTGATTCTACAAAGTCCTATCAAGGATATGCAACTAACTTTTTTTTTAAACTGCTCACTCGCTTCCAGTTGAAGCCTGCAGCATGTAGCTTGTCATGACTCCATTCCCCACTAAGTTATACAGAACCAGTCAATCTATCATCAGTTCTTTTCCCAACACACTGGTATCAAATAATTAAGTCTTGATTCGAGTTTCTGGGATTTGTATGAACCTGATCTACATGTGCAGCAGTTATGAAACTAATCTTTTTATATTAATGCATTAGGTGATAGACCAAACCCTGAGTCCAACTTGGGATGAAATGTTGGTCCTAGAAGAAGTGGAGACATATGGTTTGGCAGAGGAGATTATTAATGACCCTCCAACGATTGTTGTAGAAATCTTCGACCAGGATAAAACTGTGAGTAACATATTTAACGGAATATGTCATCACGATTATCATCAAATATTTGTGTCAGTATGTGTCACATAGGGTTTGCAGTCTGTTCCTCAATCCGTTCTGTCCTTGCAATCCTTTTGATATGGTGAAATGAATCTAGATCAGCACCGTTGGCATCGCCCGTCCACTTTCATCTTAGGGTTTCTCTAGGATGTTCTTGTTTCATCATTATATTTGTTTCCCATTTCAGTACCTGCATGATGATTCTCTGCTCGCTGCTTCTAAGGGTGTAAGGAAATATTTAGAAAGAAATAATTCTTCTGTAACATCCATAACGGTTTCAATGTTATGCCAAAAAAATTTTTTATGTTTCTCAGCTGAAATCAATAACAAAACATTCTAAAGTAGTGGATTAGAATGAAAATGTAAGTTTATTTTAATCATTTTCATCATCTTCTAGCAGGCCGTTTGCTGAATGTTGCTCTCATTACAAACCGCAGGAAATATTCTTTAGCATTCCCCAATTCTGTTGCTAGTGTTTTCATGACTATATTGCATAAAAAAAATTTTTAATATTTTTTTAGTTAACTCTTTCTATTATTTGATTAGGAGATGTGGACTGTTTAAAAAAAAAAAAACATTTCACTATTTCTATGTTTTTGACCGAATGAATTTCAGTGCTCATAGAGTATTTGAATCTAGACATATTTGTATAGACCAATTTCTTATCGACAAGTGATGTGTTTAACATCACACCAGCCACCTTTTTTTCCAAAGAATTCACATGGTATCCATTTAAGGTATTGTTGACCTAGGAGCAAAGGCCATGTTTAAAAAAAAAAATTATGTGACCATGCGGAAATGAACCCACGAACTTAAGAACAGCAGGTGAGATTCTAGCCACTAAACTCTCACTGTAAACTCGGAAAATTAAAGCTATCTTTTTTTTCTTCTTTTGCTTTGTGCATGTGCATGCATCATCTAGCTATTTAAGCTAATCCTTCCGTCTAGCCATTTTTTTTAATACACAATGGCACGCGGTTCCGGCACCTTTTTGTAAGCTTTTAAAGATACATTTTAGTGAGTGCCAACGGCTTTTTAGACACTTTGTGCTGAGTATTGGCACTTTCCTCGGGATTGCGGGGCTCCATTGTTGGGAAAAACAAGAACTGGACCACTGGTAGACCCACTGCCTTTCTTAAAAGCATGTCGTAAGAATCGGCTAACTGGGAGCTTCCTTCGATGTCGGAGTGCATCTGCCTGAGAGGCAAGAAACCAGTAATCTATACACAGGTTAGTCAGATCTGTAAAACCGATGTGAACGCAACACTCATGTTGTGGAACAAAGTCTAGAGGTGGACAAACAACCAGAACTTTTTGCGGAGTTTACAACCGGTTTGCAGCGAAGAAGTACTGGCACCTTTTTTTAAAGGGGGAGAAAACCTGGCTGCCTCCCCCCCCCCCCCCCCCCACCCCCCCCCCCCCCCCTTTTCCACACTCCTCCACTCCCAATGAAACCTTTTAAAGCTCCAACGAACTTTCTGCTTTCCTACTGACTTTCTTTCATAGTATATCATTGCTGTTACACATAGTTTTCAATTGATTCGATTTGATTTGATTCAAAAACCGACATCACAGCAATCGGGGCATTCCCATAAGCGCTCCGTCCCCATTTTCAGCAGCCAGCGAAGAGTTCTGATACTAATGGTGCCAGTAGCATTCTGATTAAACGTCCGTCTCGCCTTCCTCTGAGCCACGAGCATCTGCTAGAACCTCTCGTACACATAGTTTTCAGTACATGATAACCTAACATTATGTGTCATATCCTCTCTGATGCAGTATATCCGTCAACAATAATATTCCTTTACCGATATATTTTGCCCTACCATGTAGCATTAGTAATCATATGTGTTCACAGCCTTCTGTCAGTTTGTCAATACCTTTTGACACAAGGTTGTTGTTCTACAATATTCATTTGTTTTTGAGTTATGAGTTAGATTATCTTCACAGCACTTCGAACATATTCATAGGCGCTTAATTTTCCATCTCAACATATTCATCAGCTTCGTGCGGTTGATAGTGCCAGTACTATGTTGGTTAAGAATACTTCATGTGCGACCGGTGTGCTTCTCATGATTGGCTGTGCCCAATTCTCGTATTCTTAGCAGTGATGTGGACATGTTGCTTCCAAAATCCTCACTTTTAGTTCTGTGAGGTAACTGTTTTCAAAATATCTTCATTTAACTTGTATCTGTCTGTGATGTTCTCAGCATATAATGCTAAATGTATGTGCAAATTTTCATTAAGCCACCCTTGTTAGTGTTTTAAATATATTCGTAAATGTTGAGAACTAATTTGGCTTTTTTTCCGATTAAAATTTTGACATTTTTAATCAACACCCCTGAAAATATGTTGATTTTAGCCCCAAAAATTAATTTTCCTTCAATCTTTAACTAGTATGTCCCTACGGGAAGTATTGTTTCCAGCAGATATAATCAAATTCAATTCGGGGGTTTAACCTTTCCTTAAAACCACATCACTTCGGCTATCACATAATTTTTCACTGCTGATATTTTATGATCCACCCACACACATCAAGACTAGCTGTGTTAAAAGAGCTCTTAATAACTCTCTCGCCTCAGTAGACACACATATTCTGCACATAATATTCTTTCTCCTGTGACCTTCTGCTTCTGCTTGAGCTAATATACATTCAACTTCTTTAATTCTTTTCCCTTCTACTTCTGGTGTAACTGCAGTTATACATCGCCCATAACCGCATCGTGTCAAACACTTACAATTATCTTTGACTTCAGGGTAGGTCAGAGTTCATTGGTCGTGCTCTGTGCAAGCCGGTGATCAAAATGAGCAATGAGCAATATGTGGCTCCCAAGTTTCCACCTCGACTTGAGTGGTGGGAGATATACAGAGGTCCGGACAGAGCTGGGGAGCTTTTAGCAGCATTTGAACTTCTGCAGGTAATTTGTGTGTACATAATGTACAAGTTTTATAACAAAATAGTAAGACCTTCTCATGCCTTGGCACCTGAGGCACATGATGCTAGATATATTTTTTTTTTCGTAGACTAGTCAGCATTTATTAGGTGTTGTGGTCAAGATCATACCAGACATTTTTACTTTCAGGTACATTTCCTAGTAGCTATTGTAAATCAGTGGCTTAGGCATTGCGAGTCCGATTCGTAATTCCAACTACCTACTGCTGGCTGCGTGGATTTTTATCATGGTACGGGGCGTCGCATGTGGACCCAGCCTAACATGGGTACCAGAATGTATGTCCTAAGGAAGTAAAGATGGCCGGCGTAATGCTCACCAAATTACCCACTTAGTGCCGATTGGTCTTTAAACATATGGGTGCTCTCCCTATATATCCGATGATCCTGAGGCGTGAAAAGGGATCTTTACTGTTTTACTATTGTAAACTGGTTTAATTTTGAACTTTTTTTTTTTCTAATCTGCCCGGTTTTGGCATTAGGAATAGTAATTTAAATGCATAAGTTGAAGTTTTCCGTTTCAGTAAATATACTTTGGGGGATCAGCTATTGTCTATGTGTATCATGTGAAATAAAGTGTACAGTTAGATATTTGTAGCGGCTACAATATTGAGTGACAATAATGGCTGTGGCTGTTCCACAATATTTATACACTATCTTTGACTGTATATTTTAAGTTTGGTCTGAACTTAATAAAAACTCTAGAACCCTAAAATTTACACTGTAGCACAGCACATGCCTGTTTGAAAATAATACACTCTGGATGTTTACTATGAAATCTTTTGTGAAACAAAACACCGAAGCTTTTCTTTTTAAACATAGAAAACGATTATTTGTCATGTTATTAATCTTTTGTGCTTTTCTGTTTTTATATCCCAGAAACCATTTGATCCTTCGGATTTGAAAGCAGCTTACCTAACACCACCTTATGCAAGAAAACATGTTTCACTGGTAAAACATACCTGTAATCTGTCTGTTTGGCTCTTTGTATGTCTGCCACTTAAAAGAGTTTAAATTTAAAGATAATTGCTACCAGTCCTATTCTAGCTCTCCATTGGTGGGTTATTTCATCTTCTGGAAGACAGCTGCAGTTCTAAAGTCTGATGTGTTGACTTCAAAACACCTCATCAATAAAATGAAATAAAATCTGTTGAAATGGATGTTTGTGCAAGAATCCGACCCAGGAAAGAATTACTATCTCCATGGGGTTTGTGCTACAAAACCTTCCTTCCCATCAACATGCCCAGGCAACGACAGAATACTCAGGACTAGAACTTCACGTCTGTACAGAGACAAATTTCGATTTTACAAGGTCATTACCGAAGACAGCTCATGCAGATTGACTAGAGTTACTTACAACTGCCAAAGTTATCTCCATTAGTAATAGTTATCTCCTTCTCCAGACTCCAACCCAGTGTTTGCCCAGAGAAACTTAGTCTCCACAAAATTTAGTCGGTTGCTGAAGGTTAGAAAATCAGTAACAATGTGTACTAAATGGGTTCAAATCTGAATGGTGCCATACTTTTTTATTTTCGAAAATGTCCTTGGCTCCCAGGTCGACCCAGCTATAAGTGGCTACCAGGTAGAATCCTTGGAAATAACTGACCAGCGTGATGCTGACCGCATGACCCACCAAGTTCCCACTGCTATATCAAAATGTAAATCTAACACTATATGCCCAATACAACTAAAGTAAGTAAAGTAAAGTAAAGTAAAGATACATTTTCACACCTGTAGGCGTATCGGGCATATGGGAAGAGCCCGTAATTTTACAGACTGTCGGCACTAGGTGGGTAATGTAGTCACCATTACGCCGTCCGTCTTTACTTCCCCATGACAGCCATTCTGGTACCCATTTTAGGCTGGGTCGACCTGCGACGCCCCACACCACGATAAAAATCCACGCAGCCAGCAGTGAGTTTCAGTCGCGGAACGTTGCAATTATGAGTTGGTCTCGCAACGCCTTAGGCCACGGAGGCTGCCAAATACACATAAAGGGAAAATTGCCATTTACTTTATGTGTACTAAACTTAAAGAGATTTGGGCATTGTATATACAAGCTGTGGAAAAGTCATGAAGGGTGGTTCTACTTCATCTCTCTGTCGGATACGTTATGATGTATAGCTTTAGCATGTATCGGTCTAAGATGTTATAACTCAAGACAATTTCCGTCTAAATTAGTGAGCAATCTATCTTGGGTAGATGTGTTGCCAGTGTAGTGACCTTATAGTCTATAGTTTGCGATATCTATCTGCTGTAGGGTTTCTGACCAATTCTTTCTGTCTTGTGATGTTATATTTTTTTAAAGTTTTGTTGGGTTTAGACATGTATTACTTAAAGTTATGACCACTTAA